ATCTTTTATTTTCTGTTACATCTTTAAGTCTTAAATTAACACCTAGTTATATTTCTCGGAACAGTTAGTCCAAGAAGAACACTTCTAATCCCAGATCATTATTTTGTATAGCCCCATTTGTCATACTTATCTTTCAAGTATAACACAAACTAAGTAGGCTACTTTAAACATCTGGACATGAGATGTCCCCTCAGTTAAATTCGCGCCTGATGTCCTTTTTCTCTCAGTGACAAAGGTATAGATTGCTCACCGAATAAAACTTTTTTAAAAACGCTTGGTGTTGACTTAAACCATCATATACACACACTTACACTGGTGTGTGTACAAAAATTAAGGACGAAGTCGAAAAATTAGCATATCAGCTGAACGAAGAGGCAGAGCGGACAGAAAGACCAATCAGGAGATTACGTAAGGTGATGTACGGTAGCACATACGCAGATATGCAGGTAGACGTAATGAGGGAGTGTCTGAGTAGTATAAAGCATGTTGTCGGTGTAAGATCAGTATTTCTGGCAAAGAGATTGCAAGCCGTATAGCAGTTAAAATCACACCGAGTTGCTGCCTCAGCGAGAAATGGCGAATAATCAATCTGTTAGACGACATCTGGATGCTTTTACGCGAGGTCGAATCATTGGCAAGTTGGAGGAAGGCCGCAGTGTGACAAGTGTGGCTGCAGAGTTCGGAATTGCTTACAGCATCATTTCACGACTTTGGAGACAAATTCAAACTACAGGAACAGCTATCCGGGGGTTCAGTAGTGGTCGTCCACGAGGAACCACACCCGCAGATGACCGGTACATTGTCTTACAGGCCAGAAGAAACAGGCGGCAGACAGCGGGAGAAATCGCTAGACACACGACACAGGCGACTGGACGACCGATATCGCGTTTTACCGTGGCCAGAAGACTGCACGGTGGTGGTCTGTTTGCACGACGCCCTGTACGGTGTGTACCTTTAACGCCTGCCCATCGGAGAAGGCATTCTCTGTGGTGCCGGGAACACCGGAATTGGAGAGACAATGAATGGGGACGAGTACTCTTTACAGATGAGAGCAGATTCAGCTTGAGTAGCGATTCTCATCGCATATTCATCTGGAGAGAGCGGGGAAATCGCAATCATCCCTCGAACATCATTGAAAGGGACAGGTATGGAGGTCGCGGTGTTCTCGTTTGGGGAGGCATCATGCTTGGTAGTCGTACAGACCTTCACATCTTCGACGCAGGTTCAGTCAACGGGACCCGTTATTGTAACGAGATTATTCTTCCATATGTGCGTCTTTTTAGAGGCGCTATGGGTCTGCAGTTCCTTTTCATGGACGACAATGCACCATGTCATCGCACAGTAGCTGCCGAACAGCTCTTAGAGAGTGAGGATATTGAACGTATAGATTGGCCGGCACGATCTCCGGATCTCAATCCCATCGAACATGTATGGGATTTTCTAGGCAGACGCTTGGCAGCTCGTACCTAACCACCAGTAACGATTCGGGAGTTTCGATTAGCGCTGCAAGACGAATGGGCAGCAATGCCTCAACAACTCATTGACACCCTCATTCTCAGCATGGGCAGACGCTGTGAAACCTGCCTAGCAGTCAGGGGAGATCACATCCCCTACTAAAGACCGGATGTTTCTTGCTGGACACCCATCGCAGGGATGTTTCGGCCTTCAGTCGCATTGCGCTCAATGCTACTTTTTCAATAAAGCTTCTTTTTATCCCTCTGATTTCTCTTTTACAAAGTGTTGCTTACATTACACATGTCCTTACGTATTGGGGATCTTACGGTATTAAATGTGTTGATTTGGAAAGCTTTTGTACAAAGTTATATTGAAAAAACCGTCTCGTCCTTAATTTTTGCACACCAGTGTATATATATGTATATTCTCTTTCTATTTTGCAAAAAAAAAAAATGAATCTGATAATTGTTAAACATGGTAAAATTGCTATCATACATAAAGAAATTGCTCTGTACAAATAGTTACAGAATTTTTTTAATTTTTTTAAATTTTACAAAATAATAGGTGGTTATATCAATCTTTCTTGCACTTCAGAACACATACATACATACATACATATATGTAATATATATATATATTCTAAAATAATTTGTTTATTCACTTTATGCAGTAAATGTGCCACAGAATTTTCTTTAATTGCACTGCTTAAAATTCCTTCAACGCATACTGTATATGTATATCCATCATATCTCTGTAATAAGTTTAATTAAATTATATTGAATTTTTGATAGAGAGAGATTCATGATGTTAATGAGAGAGAGAGAATCATATTTGAGGCTTAGAGAAAGGTCAGAATAGATATACTTTATTTCTAATAATTATCTTAATCCAAGTATTCAAAATTCTTTTGAATTCTAAATAAGATGATTTCTCTTATTCTGCTGAGGTGTTTATAGCATGATTTTTCCATAACAATTAAATAATCCACATAATGTTTTGTATCTCTCAATTTTAAGTAAATTAGGTTAACTTTTGAAAAACAAAAATTCCTACAATTTTGAATTATGTTCTCTAAAATAAATAAACAATTCAAAGCACAAGGTTTTTCTAAAATTAATCTATCCCATCTCAAAAAACTACTTGATTTTCATTAGTTTAAATTCCAGCAAAAACTTTTTACTTACAGTTTCTAGAATTTTCATGTGTATATAAAAGATAAAAATAAAATGTTACAATTTTTATAAATAAGCATCGTTTAAAGTAAAATGTTTCATTTGACCAAGCATGCTATTTGAATGAAACTTTTTCAACATCACTGGTTGCTTAATTATTTCAAGAAATGGGACATTGCAGCTGAAAAAAAGGAGGACAAACTGGAAATTTTGATTGGTAATTAATTTAGTTTAAAAAAATGTAGATTATTCATGCTTCTAGAGCCCAATACTTATCCATGATTCATAAAAGCTAAACTCAGTGGCGTACAGCCCATGAGGGCCAAGGTCCACTGTGACCATCTCAGTGTACGTGAACTTGGGAGCTGAGGTCCCACCAGGCGACCCAGAGACGCAAAACCCACAGTGTTTAGTTCCCAAGCAAGCCTGGTACTCATTTATCGACCCACTGAAGGGATGAAAGGCTGAGTCACGACCTTGCCCACCCTGGAATTTGAACCCGGGCTTGTGGCGTGGAAGCGTGAAGCACTACGACTCAACCACTGGGCTGCATTGATTCTTATTCTGCAAATAATTCTTTTAAAAAGAAGAAAGAAGAGTTCAAGAGAGAGAGAAGGTAAAAAAAAATTTAAAAAGCATCTTTTTCTAAAAATATAAAGATAATTATCCTACAAAAAGCATAAGCTTATGTTGATCTGTCCTAAGTTTAAAGACATTTAAATTATTATATATTTACATCTTTAGAGCTTCGAAGTTCCCAGAGGGGAGTAACTCCTTACAATGATGTTTATTACAATTTTTCTTTTGTACCGAGTATATTTTCGAATACAACTTGATGAATATTCGATCTGAATAAATGGCTTTGCAATCAAAATCTCATGTTATCTTTCTGAACACATCATCGAATAACATCAACACTAGATTAGCATCAAAACGATTTTTCTCCTTTATTTATTTCTTGAAGAAAATAGAACTGCGATCTGTAAAGAGGGGAGAATGAGGAAAATTGAGACTAGTAATTTTTTTTCTTATTTTCAAGGTATTAAGATAAAGCTAATAATAGAAAAGGGGAACGCACAGACGTAGCTTTAGCTTTTGAACAATTTCTAGTCAGTTTTACAAAGACCAGTGACAGTATTTAGATGATTTATCACGCAGTTTTATAACACTTCGATTCGTGTTTAAGTAAAAATAATTTTCAGGAACATGAATTGGATTTTACAGTAGATTTACTGATGTAAACTAGCATACGAATTAAAATAATAATATGATATTACTGTGAATAAAAATGCATCAAAAGACAAGATAAGCTAGGAATAATCACGATTGAAAACTGAAAGAAAAAAAAATTGCTGATAAAAAGGTAGTTTTTCTTGATATGAAAATATGAAAAACACTTTTTAAGTTAGTAAGTTCTCTATTTTAATGAAATAAAAATAATATAGGCTTATGTTTTGATGTTATGGTTTAATCTGATATGCAGAGTTATAAATACCTGGCATATATCAAAATTTGGCATAAGTAATTTGCACTATGCTGAAGTGTAGTTTTGTGTAGTCCTCTAATAAATATAAGTATTAATTTCATGTTCCCGGAAACGTGTGAGTTTTCTATTTTAATTTACTTTCTTTTTCTCTACATTGGGTATAATGCTAACTGTATAATAACATTTGAGCTATAATCATGACATCTCTTTCTTTCTTTTTTTTGGTAAAAAATCTTTTCAGTGCATTTATACATTATTTAATTTTAGAATTGCTATAATTGCTTGCTAATGGCTCTCTGAAATATGATGAAATAAATATTTCCTAGTTTGATCATGATAATTTTCTGTTTTATGCAAATAAATACCTAATGAACTCATACAATGAAAAGTGTAATTTTTTTTAACCATGCAACGGTAATAAAATAAAATTTTAACAAAAAAATTTTTTTTCTACTGTTAAATTAATAAACTTATAAAGAACATACACATGTGCACGCACACGCACACACACACACATATATATATATAGTCCATACAAAAAAGAATGTCTCCATAAAAATAGAATAAATTTGATTTAAAAGCAATTTTTTATTTTTAAAATTTCTAGCAGCGAATTATTGAATCTCTTTTCAATTCTTTCTATTAGTTCCCACTCTCCCTATATATACAAATATATCTTGTTCAAATTTTTAATCGTTATTAAAATACTTTTTATTTTTATCCGCTCAAATTCAAATGTATTTTTTTAAAACTTGCATTGGATAAAACATGATGTTAATGCAGTTTTTTCAAATATTAATTCATTAATTAAATTAAAAAATGAATAAATAATAACAAACAAAAGTAATAATACAACAGCATATATAGAAAGGAAAATCGTTCGTTGTGTCCCTGTAGCGCAATGGATAGCGCGTTGGACGTCTAATCCAGAGGGCGTAGGTTCCAATCCAACCTGAGATGGCCCAATTTCTGAGAATGTGATTTCGTTTTTACTATACTATTTTATTAGAATAATTAAATTAAATTAATTAATAAAGAATAACCAACAAAAATAGTCCATAATCCTATATAGAAAGGAAAATGGAAAATTGCTAGGAAATCGCTTTCTATTTTGTCACTTAATAATGTAATTCTGTAAAATGTGAAAACGTATTTGTATTAGTTGTAACTATTTAAAAAAAGTAACTAAAATAAAATTTTCTTTGTTAACCTAAGTAGGAATTGACTTAATTTTTTTAATATTACTTGTTACATATTATATATTTGTAAATATAATTATGGATAACTATTATATATTAATGCACCTATTCTCCGTACAACATTTGTAGATGTTTTTATACTTATTCGTTTTATCATTTTGGTGTGATATTAGATTGTTATTTTGTTGTATGTGTAATATAGGATTATATATCTATAAAATGAAATTTAAATACCACTAATCCCTTTTGTAATTTAGAATTTGTGAAACTGATAATCATCTCTTTTATCCAAAATATTACTACATATGTTTCGATTTTCAATTTTCAATTCGATGCATCTAAAAAGGTTCACTGTATTTGTTTCACTAAGTGTTCTTGATGAGTTCTTTAAAAGAATAAAACATTTTTTTTCATCAAAAATTATTAAATCTCAGTAAAAATATATTCAACTTTTAACTCTGCTTAAGACTTTCAAATGATTTCAGGATGGCTGCATGATATCTGAAACAGACAAAGAACATGATGAATTATTTTTTCCCTCTTTATTGATCTCTTTAATTCTGTGAAAGAAATTAATCAATTCCATTTTAATTCAATTTACATTTATTTTTTAATAAAACGAAATTTAATTACGAAGTATAAAAGGAAAAAAACCCATTATAATTAATTGTTCTCTTCGTTCACTTTGATATGATCGATTTTTGCTCTTTGTAATGATGTTTTAAAAGTTCAAGGAATGTATGTTTTCATACCTCGATAAAATAAATTGTGACTTTGTTCTTAAATCCAATCACTTTATTCCACTGAAGTATATTTGCGGACATAAATAAATCATACAGAAGGTATCTAGATTTAAAAAAAACACAGGAAAAACTATTTCTTTTGTTGAATAACAATAAACAGTTTCCAAAGTTATAGCTATTTTATATTAATTAAATTTTACACATAATTATTCTTGTTGAAAACAATTTAAGTGATTAATAGTATTTATTACAACTCCTATAATTTTAAGATTTAAAACTGTTTTACAATTGAAAGGTTAAACCAGTGCTTCTGAAACTTTCAATATTTGCGACCCAATTTTCAATCATCATTTTCATCGCCCCCTCATACAATAACAATGTATTTAATGCAGTAGTAAAGTTCTCTGACGCGCTAAAATTACAATATGAACTGATATATAAACCGTACAAATTATTAATAAAAGTATTAAATTTTGTAAATCGTACTTTTAAGTAAGGAATTTTAAGAAAGTTACTTTTAAGTAGAATAAGTATTATGTTTACTTCTAATTTTTTAAAGTGGAACAGATAACAAAATAAATTTTAATTACAATAAATATTTATTTCCTCAAACATTTATTTTCCATTCATTCCAAATTCGTCCAGATTTTCTGCGGTGGCTTCTTTGAAACTAAATATAGATCTTAGTTAAATATAGAAAAATAAATTAGTGTTAATTTCTATTATTAAGCCTTCCTTTTAAAAGCTCATGGGAGAGTCACTAGTAATTATTATACTTCTTAATTTAGTATTGATAGTTATCAAGTATACTGTGTATTGCAAATACATTTATGAATGTATTATATCAGTGTAAAGATGTATTTTATTTTTTACTATGTCAAAATGCATATTTCGTTTTGCTTCCTTTCAGTAAATCAATAATTTTTAAATAATCTCTTATTTTCGAATTTCCGATATGCTCACGCCCCTCACGTAGGGTTATTACATCCTCTAGGGGGCGCGCCTCACAGTTTGAGAATCACTGGGTTAACCAAAAGATTCATTAAGTTTATCAAGTTTATTAATAATATCCAAAAATTTCCAATACTACATTATATTTCATAGATAAAAAATATATTATTGTAAATTCATTTTTATGTAAGTAATAGCATGAAACATTGCATGATTTCTGTATGATTGACAGAGGTACGTAGTGTGGTCATTCCAACTGTACAAAGGATTTCCAACCTTGCTCAAATGACCAGTCCAGAGTCAGGATAAGAAAACATTTGAAATTATTAAAAATGACTTATAAAATTCTCTCATGAAGTTTAGAATGACATGAAATATTTTAAAGTGGCTTAAAATTAATACTATTTAGGTATTAATAGATACATATATTAAATAATTCCGTAATATATACTATGGAGTTTTTATCGTAAATTGAACTATTCTAACAATTCTCTTATTCAAATGATTACCATTCAAGACTATAATCAACTGCGATGTTTGTGATTTTAAATGTAAAGATGGCCATAGCAATCTCTATAGTCAATGGAGAATAAAATCATTTCTTTATAAACTTTTAAGTGTATAAGTTAAATTTTTCAAAAAAAATGTGACTTTAATGCACACTTCTGGTCATCTAAGAAACGTAATGAATGAATCATCCAAACTATATATATTTCACGCCAAGTATTCTACAATGGGATATGAAAAGGATTATATAGCATTTCTGTGTATATGCGCTTAGTGGGCATCTGCATTGCAATAAAAAAAAATTAGAATACCGTTTTGAAGCACTGGAACTGACGTTTTGTACGTTTTTTTTCGAATAGCAGCTTCAGCATTTCTAGAAGTCAACTAAGTGGCTTAGACGTAGCATGCTCACCTCACAAGCGCAAGGTTGCGGATTCGATTTCGGCAAAAGTCGACAGGTTTTCTGTCGAAAAAAAAATCGTACGCACATATGCCATATGATTATTTTGTTTGTAAAAGATCCCTTGAGTATCAATTTGGCTCTGGTACTCTCGGAAAAATTAAGTCATGGCAATATTTAGCATTCGACGAGGGATTAAATTGAATAAATTCAAGCGTCCAAATTTAATAGCGAGAGCAGCACCTATATAGTACAACCATGAAATGGCTCTCACATTTGGGAATTTGACGAAACGGAAGCCACCAATAGATTGTATTGTGCCACCTTTTAAAATGGCTCTCCTAATTGGGTACTTGCTGTATCTTCAAAGCTAAACTGGTAAAATTGCAGCCCATTTGAAAGAAACATTCTTGTAAAAACTTAATTTTTTTTCGAAATCATTTCAAATTTAGGCTAAAGAAGACCATAGAGGATGGGGTGATCCTTTCGAGAAATTGGTGATTGTGTTGGTTAAACAAAAAATAATGTTTAATCGATAACTAATGGATGCAGGAAAGAAAGACCAGTGCCAACTTATTGCAAAAGCTACGCAGCAACGTAGACACTTAATTCTCAAGGACAAGATCATGCACTCTGCCGCATCAAGAACTATATCACAGCATGTCTGGTTTACTGCATAACTCTTGGAGATCTTACGAATAATACCACATCGTTTACTACAAAATGGAGTGTCTACAACGCTTCTTTTGCCGTGATTATTCTTGTATCAAAACCATTGGTATACTTGAGTCTGCTAGAGTACTTTGAACAGTTATCATTGACCGCCGAATGGCAAGAATTATATTTACAAATGGATTCCAATTCTACCTGTAACTCTATAATAGTTGGATTGATGTCTGCAGACACTACGGAGAGAGGTTGCTTAAATATTACCTTATGTATCTTTGTGCTTTATAACCAGTATTATGGTTTGGGGTGTGGTATAAGATTATACTCTCTCACCCCTCCTAATACGCATTAACGGGAAATTGAGCAACATTTGCGGCGGGCAATACGTGACCATATGTGGCACTTAATGCTCAAGATTTTCTTTCCAAACCGAAATTCATTACTTCCTTAGCCTGTCTGTTTCCCAATCCATTGTCTATCGAGCATGTCCAGATAGAAGATTGGAACACGACTGGTCACCTGCTTCTATACCTCATTAAACTTTACTATGTGTGGAGGTAATATAGGCTGCCATATTTCAGCAACATATGCAAAGCTTCTTTAATTCAGTTCTTGTTGTCGTGTGTGTTTTTATCCTAGGATACATATGAAATACAAGTGAAAGAACAGATACACACAACACAAACATTAGAATATAGACATTTATTGCAGATGATGATCCCAGCATATAACAAGAAGGGGTGCGCATCTTTCCATTCGAGGTGGAAATCCATTACAGGCGAAAGTCCGACTTCTTTTCCTAAAGAAAATATAACCATGTCTTACTCGGGATCAGTAGCGCACACAGGAATTTTTCAAGAGGGGGGGGTCCGGGGTCGAAAGTTCACCATTCTTGTATCATGCTTCTTTTGATTTTGTCGATTTTCGGGAACAAAATACAGTAAAAAACTAATTATTGAATAAATAATTAGCATTAATTAATAAAATTAATCATTAATAACAAATACTTAATTAAATTTTTCACACTATATAAGAATTAAAATCAATCGGGAAAAAATCAAGGGCTTTGGGGGAATCCAGACCCCCAGGACCCCCTTCTTGTGTGCGTCATTGCTCGGGATTCAAACCCGAACCCACTCGGTTACAAGCCGAGGGTCATATCCACCATACTGGCTGGACGGCCTTTCATTCAGTTCTGAGGCGTATAGCAGTAATTATTGGTAGCCTTGGAGTCAACATTTAATATTAGTTAGATCACCTTCCTCACCTCTCGTAGGGGATTATATTTTCACAATTAATGGATTTCTCAAATATATTAATAATTCAGTGATATGATCATTAAGTTTGTGATTGCTACCAGAGTTTTATTCCAATAAAAACCAATTTTAAAAGCAAAGGTGGCTTTCACATACTTTATTGAGCTGAGCTGCAAATTGATTTCGCGTGCGATGTGCGATGTAATGTAGCCGCTCGGTAACAAAGGAATTAGTT